GCCAACAGCTCTTTTCGCTCATTAATTTCATTTTTCATCGAGTCAACAATTAACCAATCGTCGATGTCCTCAATGGCCCTCATCAGTTGGCGGTGGAAGGCTCGAGTTTTATTTATTCAATCAGTTGTAAGTTGCACATTTTCTGGGAATCTGAAATCTCCAATTTAAGGGATTTTCCCTACTTTATCCCCCCTCGACTCGCCTCGCTTTTCTCTCTGTGTGCACTGTGCGCACATTTAATTATAGAATAATCTTTGATTTAATATGAAAATTGCATAAGGGGGCTGGACGGGTTGTTGGGGGCTCCGGCTCTCTTGATGGCGTGCTGGCCGCGTTGCAAATTAATTAATTGCCGCCATATGCTAATTAAACACTCTTTTTGCCCAGCAATTTCACTCACACCCCCAAAAACACACACGCGGCCAGATACAAAAAGTTATCACATAGATATATATATAATATATATACCCATATACATATATAGACGAATAAATATTTATGTGTATCTGTGTATACACCGCGATGGCGAAACTTTTTTGTGTTTTCCATGCATAATGCAAACCCATTCATGCGGCGCGGATTAAAGTGGCAACTCATTAATATGGAATTCCACAGTAATTATATGGCCGAGCAGTGACCATCCTCCATTGGCAATGACTTGCGATAATCCCCAAACAGGATCCTCTTCCTTTTGGCTTTCCTGTAATTAAATAGCACACTTTTGGGGGTCGCTTGCGACTGTAAGATCTGTGGGGGTGCGAAAAGTATTTATTTATTTTATTATTACTAACCCATGCCTACAAGTTCCTTAAATACTGGGCTTCTTGAAAAGGTTAGAAAATAAATTTACTTTAGGATTGTAATATTTTCAAAAAATATTTTTATTTATTATTATTCAAGTTACTTTAGGTGATTTGGGGAAAAATCCCATACTATTCGGATAACAAGCGAAGGGAAAGGTGGTATTCAAAAGGAAGAACCTTGGACTGTGAAATGAGAAAGTCTATTTATTAAATGGATCATATAATAAATATTCGTCAAAAAAATATGATATCGAAACTTTGGTCTGTTGAAGGTGCAATCGTCATTAGTTTTAAACCTCGTTAAGATGTGCTTTTGCTTGATTAATTAAAGACATAAAGTTTGTCCTTTAAGTTTTTAGATCGATCAAAGAAATAGATAATTCATACCATAAGTTCGCTTGAAAATAAGACATATAAATACCTCAACTGCATTTTCTGCCCAAGAAAAGTGATTGCTTCAAAAGTTTTCTCCACGCAGGTGCAACCGTTTTGCCATCGGAATTTTGGTCCTTTGGCAACCTCGAAATGTTGGGCCACATTTCGGAGTGGGCAACATGTTGATGGTCCTGTGCGCATGTCCTGGCAACACATCCTGCCAGCCACATGTGTCCGGAGTCCTTCGTTCCGGCGGAGTTTTTCTCGAGGCGCCGTCGCTTGTTTTGATTTGCGCTGCTTGTTTATGTTTTGCCCATCCTGACAGGTGGTTGTCGCCCATGTGTGTGTGTGCGTGTCCCTTGAGTGTGTGTGTGAGCGGTGTGGATGTGTGAGTGAGTGCCGCAATATTTATGCATGGCAATTGCTCAATGTCGTCCGTCGTCTGGCCCTCAAACCCCAAAAGGAATCTAGCCCCGGGTTTCCTAGTTTCTACACAGAAAAATAAAGAATATATTTAAAAATATTCACTAGGAACCCTTATAAAACTAATGGAAACCATTTAAGAAACCACTAATTGTATATCATTAATTTACAGATAGGATAGAAATTTATAGATCTGTAAAGATCTTTTGTTTTCGATTAAAAGTAATCAAAATACTATCATATTCTGCAGTAATTAGATAGATATCTTTACTTCACTAACGAATACCTGGATATTGCTTATAAACTCAACACTAAATATTTTAAAATAATTATAAGAAAAGAAATAACATACCTTAATTTAAAGATATATGCCTTCTAAACATTGAACCTTAGGTAAACACTTGGCACTTGGAACTCCTGGAAATACAGATAATAAATAGTAAGCAAAGGTATCTTTTTGGCCACTTGCCACCGTTTTTTCCCCCAGTGCAGATCTCGTTCCCCGGTGGCTGTCGTATCTGCCAGCTTAATCCCATCGCGAGTCCGCTCTCGCCGGCATTCTCGCATTCCCGTCAAGCGTCAATTTATCATTCCTGGCTGGCATTTATGTGTTCTAGCTGCTTTGGAGCTGCAACCGCTACCTTGCCCCTCTTGTAATTGTTTCTCCGTTTCTCGATGGTCGGGGCATATTCAATTCGCGAAATATATCCCTGGATCTCGGGTTACGTGGAGTACCTCTCCCAGGGGGAATCCCAAAATGTTGTACCTTTCACAATGTTTAGCTGCTTCCAATTATTTTTTTTTTCCTCTGTTTTTTTTTTTTTTTTCGCAGACTTCACACATTCTCCACCTGTCGCTGTCACTTTCAATGGGACTTTTGCATTGGCCGAATGCCAGTTGGCCAAGTTCGTTGTGCCCGATTCGGAGGCCCAAATCGGATGGGATCGTTGGAACTTCAGCGAATGGCGAATGGGAAAAGGCGACTAGCGACTGGCGACTGGCCGTCTGCCATATGGAAGGGAACACTATGCGAGTCCTGCGGCGATGCAGCATAATTCGCCCCATGCAGTTTGCCATATAAGCCGCTTAAGGAGAGCGGAGCCTTCTCCTGAACTCGTGAACTGCTGAACTTAACCCCCCTTCGCCGCCCATGCGACAATGTTGCTACATAAATCACTTTTCCATTCGCTGTCCTGTCCCACGCTCTTGCATAGCTGCCAAAGTACAGTTGTGCTCGCGGCGGGAAAGTTGCAAAATAGAGCAGTGCGAGGGGGTTGAAAAACGGGGACTAAGGCCATTAGAGGTACTGATTAGCAAATAGCTTCTAAGGCTATTAGCTAGTTCAGGTACTCTAGAGAGCTCCATTAGGATCTTACAGGGGAAGAAATAAATTTAAACAAATTTAAGATTTATTGAAATATTTTTATAAATATTTAAATTAAATCGTTAAATGTTATGAAGTAATGCCATACATAAAACCACTGTCTTCATAAATTACAAATTGTAAATAGCTGTACTTATAAAAGGTTTAGGCTCACTCTTTTTTCGGCTGACCTGGGGGCTTCTGCCGCAGGATTGCTTTCACTAAAATGAGACCCCCGAATCCTTTATCCTTTATCGTTCATCCTCCATCCTTCACTCGAGTCCTAGACCTAGACCTGGGCTCCAAAACAAAGCTAAATCGCACACAAAGCCAATTGCCCGGCTTCTATCATCTCCATCTCTATCTCACCATTTTTCCCTCGGCTAAAAGGGAACAAAACGAAGCCACGCACTTGTAGTTACAAAGCGGATACTCATTTAAGTTGATTCACCGCACCAACAACTGCACAAAGGACGCGAGGACGCGAGGACGCGACGTCAGCCAATGACACTTTATGACAATTGCACTTGGCGGCTGCTCCTGATGAAGCGGGGCCCCAGCGAAATAATGGGGGATATATACCCGGTACCCTAGCCCTCGAATATACCCCTTAGTTCTGTATAGAGGTCGGCCTTCTCCTTTGGGGCAGCCGAACAACCGAACAAAGCAGCCAACGAGGACACAACAAGAACAAACAAGTGAAAATCATTCAGGGAAAACTGCCGTCTGCCAACTCCATCTCGAAAGGAAATCCGCGTACGCTGGGGAGCCCAGAAAACGCTACGCAAAATAAAACAAATGGGAAAGTCATGGTCGTGTGTGTGGACTATTTGATACCTGGTGTTTATATCTGATATAAAAAATGTAAATTGAAATAGTTTTAAAAATCCATTTAATTAAAATTATAAATAGGAAAATTATAGTCGTGTCTATGGACAAATTGTTACCTTATGTTTGAAACAAATCCTATCATACATTAAAAAAAATATATAAAAATTCGAATAAATAAATAATAAATAGTTGTATATATTATATTATTGTAATCCTAACAAACGTTATATACCCCTGATCTCTACGAATACCAGGTATGAGTGCAAAAACAAAAAGGAATCGTAAACAAAATGCCGGAAAAGGCAAAAAAACATGGCGACAAAGACGACGGCGACTATGGCGATGGCGATGACTATGACTATGAGCCACGTGCTCCATATGCTGCACATGAGGCGAATGCGAATGCGGATGCCGATGCGGATGCGAAGAGGGGATCTGGAGAGATCGGGGGACTACGGAGTGGTATACCGTATACGGTATACTGGAGATGTGGAGATGAGAGCGGCCCGACGTCGCCGTGATAATGACTTTTTGTCTCTGCTCGAATGTCACTTGATGTTTGTGGGCCCTTCGCTTCCTGGCTACACTTGGAAAAATTAGGTACCTAAAATGGATATAAATTAAAAGAAGGTTTCTGCTCTTGAAAAATTCCAATTCATAATATTCAGTTGAAAAATGTAGCTTAAATATATTTTAATAAAATAATCCATACCAAATTAAGTTAAACTTGGGTATTATAAACCTCTTTAAGACATTTCTGAATTAAGAAAATAATAAATATTTAATTATATTTTTTTAATTATAATAATATTTATATGTTTATATTGTATATTTTTTTAATTGAGTATGCTAAGCAATAACAATAACAAATATACACAGTTGCCAATAATTATTCGGGAATTATAAGGATGATCTCTGTTATAGACCATTATTTTTCCAAGTGCAGTGCCTTCCTGCTCTTTGTTGCTTTGCTGGCTGTCGCCTTTGTTGTTGCAGTTTTCGTTTTTATGCCTCGAGGTCATTCAAGTTCAACCCGCCGCCGCAGCCGCCTTCTGATTAATTGGCCATGAGGAAGTGAGTCTGCTGGCAGGGCAAAGCAAAGGAGGCATAAAAACCTAGCATTCTAGGAAGTCGAAAAGGTGGCGGGGCCCCAAATGTCATAGACAGTTGGGACTTTCATTCCACCACCTCATTCACAACGACTGAGACCGGCCTGCGAGTCGGTCACAAAAATTTTCTACACTTTCTACATTCGGTTTTGGCAAAACAAAAAAAACTCAAAAAAAAAAAAATAAAAAAAAAGATCTATAAAAAAAAGCACAATACACATTTGGATATAGATTCGGTTTAACACTAACATGCCGGTTGCCTACAAGACACGCACACTGCCCCGGCAGAGAGGACTGGTGCCCAACCTACTGCGGTCCATCCTACACGTCCTGGAGGAGGCCCACCGACCCATGAGCGACGCCGAGCTGGTCCAAGTCCTGGGGCTCCAGTACCGCCGCAGCGATCCCGAGTTCAACCGCCAGGTGCAGATGAATCTGCGCGATGGCGTCGAGTACGGCATCCTGAGGCGTCAGCGGAACCTCTTCTCGCTGCGCTCGCGACGCCTGGGCGAGCTGATGGCCACTCTGGGACCCTCTTAGCCATGCCACTGGGAAACGACGCACTACAAGATCGGAATGAAGCCCCCCCCCGAAGAAGAACTGAGCCCGAAACTTTAAAATACACTTGATAAGAGCATCTAATTTATTTTGAATTTTTTTGCGCTGGCAAGACGATTATTTACTTTTTTTCATAGTATTCGGGGTCACAAAAATGCATAGAATACAATATTTAATTGATTTCTCGGACAACTATGCCTAAATATTATCTCTGGATAACTATATAATTTATATTTTATTTTCATTGCGCTGGGATAAGCCATTATATAATTTTTTCATAATAATTGGGGTCACCAAATAGATTCAATACAGTATTCTCTGTTAAACTAGAAAATCTACCTTCTAAATATTCTTGAATATTATCCATAAGATATTTAAAAAACGAAATAATAGAGCAATCAGGTTAAATTATATTCATTATGCTTTGCTTGTACGAATTTAATTGCCTTGGATGTTCAGGTGCACTAATAATTCAAAATCGGTGGCCCTCAAGGGTTGCCATCTATTTTGTCACGCCAGATTGGCCCTCTGGTGGCCAAACGCGTTTTGTGGCAAATATTTGCGGTTATCTAAATGAAATGCATGGCATTTCACATTGCTCATTGCACAGCGACCACAGTGCGGTGGGTGTGGATGGTGTATATTTGCATTGCACCGCCAAATATGCAATTAAATCATAAATTAAGCGGTAAAAATCAAACATTATCCCAGGGGATGGTTTTTGGAGAGGAGATAATAGAGGGGGTTATGCTCAATTTTTGAGCTCACATTCCCCCCGTGGGCTACAGTCTTTTTGGCCGCCCATGCAAAAGCCATTATGAACTATGTATTATGAATATTTATCGAAATGTGGGTGTTGTTTAGCCATTGCCGATAGTCGATAGTTAGAAACCAGCTCTAATTGGAATTCAATAGAAATGATTTGATCAAATGTATCATGGCTTTTGAATGGACTTTGAATTGGGTTGAGTTCTTAGTTCCTAAGGCGAAAGTAGGTAAAACACTAGTTAAGAATCCCAATCCATTTGACCAAGTTATGGACTCTGAAAGTGTAAATGGGGGTACATTTTCGGCGAGCCTTCGAAAACTTAAAAGAACTGAGGGTAAATGGGGCAAACCCGACTGGGTAATAAATTATTTTCATATTCATTATGTGTTGCTGAAGGAAATACAAAATACTTAAAGCCAAGTCCAATGGAAGTCCGGTGGCATGACAATATCGATTCCCTGCGAATCACAAATTCATGAATCGTCCCCAACGTTGAGCGCCATTCTAATGGGAATAATTGATTATGCGGCCGACTTCTTGATGATTCTACGGCTGCCCGTTATTATTTTAGCCGCTCTCGTGTAATTGCAAACGGAAGCGGAAATGCTCGTCAGCCATAAATTTGCTCAGCACTAAAAACCAACAAGTTCCCAACCAAAAAAAGTTAAAATAAAAGCGAAACCGCAGACAGAGACAGCTGGGGGCATCGTGAAACGGTAAATAAATTATGCATTAAAGGCCATTGCGTTGATGATTTATGCAGGAGCTCAGGAACCAGTGGCAGCTAGCAAAAAAATAAGAACACAGAGGCGCAGTTAATAAACTCCGACAATGGTGACCATGGTGAGCAAAAAAAAAGAGGAGAAACAACAGGCGGACTAACACTTCAGGCTGTTGCAAGTTGCAAGTTCAAGGGGCACAGGCACAAGCCATCGCAGGCTGAACGGAGTTCAAGAGCTTCAGACTTGGACTTGGAACCTTTAACCCGCTACCTTTACCCACTATGCCCACTAGTCGGCAAGAGGAGCCAACACTCTCGGTACTTGTAAATTTCTTATGAGCAAAGAGAATAAAATGCATGAAAAAAAAACTTAAAAAGAAGGAAATCCATTTGAAGGCTGACTTTGGGAATACTTTCAAATTTTTTGTTAATAATTTATTTAAGATTTAAATATTTAATAAATTTATAATAACCAAAGTATATATATAAAATAAATATCATATTATTATTATCATTTACGGAAAATATATATGATATAATTATGAAAAGAAAGTAGTAGAAATGTACCAAGTTTATTTAGAAAATAAAGTAAATAACATTAAAGTAAAGTTGTAGAAATTTTGCAAATAACTTAAAATCATGAAATTGTTTCCTTTTTTGGGTTTCAAAATTTTAAACACCTTTTGTTAGGGCATCGAGCGGAGCGACCACAAACATATGAGCAAAAGTTGCCAAGTTGTTGCAAGTTGGCTGAGTGCTTTTGTTGTTGCTGCTGGCAGGCACGCACAATTAAATCAAATTACCTCGAGTGCACTTGGCGCTTTTTCACAGTCGCAGTCGGAATTGGAGATGGAGATGGGAAGTCGGAGGATTTGGGGGATCTGAGGATCTGGGCCCTGCAATTAAGCTTTGTGTCGAGTGTCAGGACTTTGTTTTGGCTTTGTTCACTCCTTTAAGCTTCCCTCCTCCAAAGGGATGCCAAAAGGATGTGTGAATTGCTTCCGGCTTTGGTCACTGAACTTGCCAAGTCATTTTTATGACTCGCCTACCCCTTCCCCCTTCCAATAATCATGTTTATTTGGACATCGACTAATTCAGTTGTCTGTCTGCCTGCTAGGTAACAAGGTTAACCGCACGATATGGGCGAGTTTTGCGGATTATTCGATTAGGGGCCCGCATATGTCCCGAAAACCAGATTGAAATTGCATCGCTTTTGCGAGGGGTTTTAATTGAAATCGCAGTTCAGCCGGGCGGACAATGGAGCAGCGGAAACAAGGGGCGAAAAAAACAAAAAAAAGAAGAACAAAATGCGCAAAAAACAGGAACTCGATTCGGAGCACACGCCAGGGAATCGAGTTGACATATTCATATGGGGGGCGCAGGACGACTTCACCACCTCACCTCCTCCTCCCCTTCCCATTCCCCTTCCCCCAAAAGGACAAATGGCGAACAATATGCGACGCTGATGACGGAGTGACAGGGCAAAGGAAAAGAACAGCAGCAGCAAAAGCATCACGAGTTTGGGGTGAAGGAAGCGGCGATGAAAGAAGCATTACGGCAGCTGAATATGCTCCCCCGAATCCCCGGGGACACGACTGCCAAGGAGGATGGGGCACTGGGAGGACAGGACCCGGACACGGACACTCACTTGGAGTTCAGGACTCTCAGAACACAGGACTCTGGAAAGCACGTGGAGAAAACAAAAACAAGTATTATAATGTTCTTTAAAAAATTACATAATTTTAATTTTTAGTCTTTAATTTTATTTTAAGACATAGTTTTTACTAACACATCCCTTAGAATATAAAGTAAAAATTTGTCTAGGCTAGGCCTTATGGTTTGGGCGTTCGTTTAAACCTCCCAAAAAAGAGGGTACACAATTATATATAATACTTGCATTTAGGTGAAAGATAATACCACTTGTTTAATTGTTTAATGTCAGGGTTACTAATTTATAATTTATATACCTAATAAATATTTACTTTTAAATACTTTGGTGCCACTTCTTTTCTCTCTCTGCACTACCCTCATGCCAGCATGTGGCTATGAAAACCTCAAAATGTGAAAACCGAAATTAAATTTACATCAAAAAGGAGCGAAAAGGACAACGGGGCAGGAGCAACATGTGAGGGTGCATTGCAGGGGGTGTGCTTGGTGTACGGTGTATAGTGTATGGTGTATGGCGAATGGTGTGGCCATTGTAATTTTATTAGGTGAGAAATGTGCGAGGGCGGGTGTCGTGGTGTCAGGGCATTACTGCAAGGCAAATAAATAAGCAAAATATGGTCAGACGCCACTGGCTCGCTGCGTATGCGTTTCCGTTTCCGTTTCCCCGTCGTTTCCCGTAGTCCGTTTCCATTCCACTCCGTTCCGTTCCATTTCAGTTCATTTCAGACTCAGTCCACCCGGGGGCGCCACATTAAATTAGTTCTGACACGTAAATGCGTTTAGCAGGCCAGAGTTTTTGTGTGCGCCCCTGCTGGATTGCTGGATGTGTCTGGCCTCGTTTCTGTCTTGACTTGGGCCCACATCTATTACTCCGCCCCCAAGTACCCGCCTGCCGAAAAGTTTACGGGGGGTCGGGCATTTGGCATTAGGCATTCCTGGCATTTTGTAGCATAATTTCACCCTGTCACTCCACGCTCCAATGAAATATGCGAATAAATTACACAAACACCAGGCATCGGCCGACGAATGCACACAATTTATGGCCCAGGCACAAACCAAAGTGTGTGCAATTAACCTGAAATTAAATGATTGTTATTATTTTCCCGATTGTATAGGTGTTCAGGGGTTAAGGGCTACGACGGTAATTCGCTAATTGGGTGGTCATTCCCCATTTTCGGTGGCATAATCCCATTCAGTGAAGTGGAAGTGGGCTCCTTACCAAATTCAATGGCATTCGGTTTAAAATAAACAAAAAGAGAAAAGTGTTATAAGCTTTTATATTTCTTTTTTGGCATGGAATTTTCCATTATTTCATTGTTTTGTTTTCTTTTTAGAAATTTTTCACTATTTAAATAGGTAGGAAAAATATTTTTATTCTACGTTCTCTTCGCATTTTATCATTAATATTTATTTAGCCTGAAATCGAATCTTTTGTTGTATATTTTCCAGCGCTGCCGTGCTGCTCTTTCATATTGTTTAGCATAAACAATTCGCTTTCTGCCTTTCTTGCTTGTTTGGCTGGCGAAACTACTTTTTTTCTGCTTTCCAGGACCTATTATATTCTGTATTTTTTCCTAAGCCTAAGCTGTTTTTATACTCCGCCTATTCCGCAAATTACTGTACTAATTTCATGCAGCCCGAGTCGCTAGTAACTCGCCAACTCATTGGCTGTAGCCACGCTACAATGGCTTAATGCTGGGCAGGAAGACAGGAGTCTAGGAGGGCATTGTTCTCTCTGCAGATAGCTCGGGGTCCTTGGACCACTCCTCCCTCCTCCTGGCGGATAGAACCCAACATACCTTTGGATTGCAGCCAGGCATCCAGCTGCATCATCGGCTAATCTGGCCCCAGTTCGGGCCAGAATGCATTGGCATTCCGTTGACACGCAACATTATGGCCAGCTCAGTCCGGTTCAAATGCCGGAGGATCAGGCAGCCTGTGAACTATTAACATTTAAACTCGGCACCGTTCGCACACATGCCTCTGCGTTTGGTTCACGCTTCTCTTCATGCGATGCCATGACAAATGTGAGTTCAAGTTCTTGTCTTACACAGTGAAAAAAATACCAGTTACCAAAGCATCAAAAAATCAAGCTTATGATCAGGCTTAAAAAATAATAAATATTTATACCTTTGAAAATTATTTCTTGTGTTTTGAAACCTCTTAAGAAAGTGCCTAAAACTCTGCTTTAAAAACATTAACTTAATCCTAAGAATTGGGTTTTAAATATAAATATAATTATAAATTATATATTATATACTTATTATATAAGTTATTTTCTTTCTAAATTCTAGTTTAGGGCCCCTACTTTTCCCCCAGTGCACCTTTGCGCCAGGGCAAAAGGACAATGGACACTGGGATTCCTGAGCAGAGATATTTATGAATCACACGAGCTCCGTAAATCATCGCCCAGCTGGGCGGATGCCGTAATCCAGGCATCTGTCTGCTCCTCCAGTTGGAAAAGGAGAGTCAACAGGTTCGGCGCTCGGTTGGAGCAACAAACTTTGGACAGGACTCCGGCCTGGCACATCGAAGTGCCCGATCCCTGACTGGCGGCAACAAAATACAATTATGACAGGGCTCAGAGTTGCAGCATGCAAATAACTTGATGACCATATAGACGGCAGACAAAGCTGGCGGGGATGGGGCTCCGGATGAGGACGAGGCTGACGCCAGCGGAGGCTCCTCCTCGGTGCTCCAGTTCCAGTTCCAATTCCACTTTCATTCCGGTCGAGGCCAGCTGCGTCACCGAGTCGTTGACTCTGCTTCCCGCTCCTCTCTGGGGAAATGGCAAACTTGGCTATTTTCAAGCTATATTTTCGATCGTTTTGAGAAGGGATAAGAGTTTTGCTAAAAATTACGATTTTTCTTAGTGTTCTTTTTATATTACTTGACCAAAAATTATCCGAAAACCCAAAGGCCTACTACTACTAACAAGCTAATAAAGTAATAATTAAATTCATGATGTTTTTTGGTTGAGTTAATTAATTACAAATTTCCATATTTACACTATAACTTTTTTTGTTTCGGCCAAAATACTATTTTTTTGGGTGGTAAACCTGAACTGGGTTTTTGGTAAGATTATTATTTTTTAGTACCGTTGTGCTACTGTATATACCAAGAAATATTTTAGAAAATTGTAAGTATAATAATAGGCAGCTTGATTTATTTTATTTTATTCTAGAAACTAAGGAACGTTTTCTTGTTCCCTTTTTTCGCTGCATTTAAAATAAATATTCAAATTTGTCTTATATTTTTAAGGCCAAGTTCTTGGTGCCATCCTTAGTTGCCAGCACAGATGGGCTGCTCTTTAAGGAGGAGGCAGTTGAGGGCTCAAAGGAGCAGTGCGTCGCCATGCTGATTACCAGGCCATGCCCCCGGGCGACTCTGTCCACTGTTTACCCATTTCATCAGCAGCAGCAGCAAAAGCAAAAGCAACAGCCAGAGCAACAACAGCATCACATCCATGCCTCAATGCAGCCACCCACTCGTTCCCACCCGTCGCTGGCTTGGCGCCACTTTGTCGCGACGCTTTTTATAATTGAAGCAAATTGTTAGTTGAGTTGGCATTCACTCGTCCCCATCTCCTCCTCCTCGTCGTTGTCGTTGTTGTCGTCCTCTCCCGCCCACATATTTTCATCCTTGCTGTTGTTATTGTCCTTGCATTCTGGGAGATGCCATCTCCTATCAACCATCCACCATCCTCCTTTCTGGCCTCGCATTGTCGCATTCCAATTACAAAACAATCATGATGAGCTCTAGATACTCGCCACTCTGCGCACAATAGCTAGTTAACTGAACAGATCCCAACAACCGCCGACCGAGTGAATGAATGACTGACTGACTGCGAGATGGTTGGACCACCGACTGTATGTTTAAATTGATAAACACAAAGTTGAATGCAAAAATTTAATGGTTAGATGGGTCGTTAAAAAGATATAGTACATATCAGGGAGTGACACATCAAATACAAAGATGGCAAATCAAGTTCCAAGTGAATGGGTGGAGTTATTCGTATTGTTGCTTCACAACTAATGGGATGAAAGGAAGTATGCAATTTCCTGAATTGGGAAAATAATACCTGTAGTTTAAAGAAAACAAACTGAAAAAAAAAAATTCGAACCAATGTTTAAAATTCTCCCTTTCAATGTATTATAATGAACGCGAATTCTTCAGCATTCACATTCTTCACAACTATGGGATGAAAGAAAATATGAAACTTCCTTAATTTGGAAAATAATACCTGTAGTTTAAAGGAAAAAAACTGACAAAATGGAATATAATGTCTACCAATGAACGCGAATTCTTCAGTATAAGTGATATAACTCGATTGATTTCCTTCCAATTCCCCATCCCATTCTTTAAACAACCGCCCATTCATGGAAAACTACAATTTTATTTACCCGAATAGCTTGCAATTATAAAGCGCTGAACCAGGAAAACTCGATTGATTGCTTCTATGTTGGGAACGCGAAAGGGAACATCAGGCAAACGAAACATCCTCCGGAGGCAGCGGCAGTTTGACAAAGGGCCGTCCCCATTGGGTTAATATATATAAAATATACTTTGTCATTGTGAGACTTCATTTGCGGACCGTGGATCGGGGATCACTGATCTCAAGGATCACAAGGATCGCACGGCTCCGCGGACGCAGTTCACGTACAGTAAAACCAGTCTTTAGCAGGGCTCGTCGGCGGCACAGGACTCGTGGCTCTGGGTGGTGCGACTCGCAGGACTACAATCTCATAGCCGCGAGTGCTGTGCTAGCTCAAGGGTATAAAAAATACGAAGTGATGCAGGGAGATGCAGAGATGAGGAATGTGGATGCGAGATGTGGCTCAAATATATCTGGAGAGACTAACGCTTGCGCCAGGACAACGGCTCCTTCTCCAGCTCCTTGGCCCGCATGGCGGCCTCCTGGTTGCGCCGCATGATCTCCAGCTGCTCCAGCTCGGAGACCAGTGAGTACCGATTGCCCTCCTTCCGCAGATACCCATTGTTCACGGCGGCGTGCAGGGTGTGCGGCACATGGCGCTTCAGCTCCACTTCCGGTCGCTGCAGCCGCAGGGCCAAAGTGTTTATGATCTCCGGATAGCTGACGGATCGCCCCAGTTCCCTCATCAGCGCGAGGACGGCGGTGAAGAGATCCGGCAGCGGCTGCTTCCGCCAGCGGATATATTGCTTGGGATGCAGCTGCGGATGCAGCTGGGGATGCAGCTGAGGATGCGGCTGGGGAGTGGGCAGCAGGGGCAGTGAGACCACCGGAAGTAGGGGCTGAACCAGCGAACCCAGGCCGAGTAACGAGGGTTTGAACACGGCCGCCTCGGCATTTAGGCGAAAGTCCCGGGCACTTTGGCTGGGCTTCGGTGGCAGCAGTGTCTCCACTTTCGGGGGCATCGTGTAGGCCATCGCATCGGCATTCAGCTTGGAGTTGGCCGCCTTCAGCAGGATGTCAGGTTCCAGCTCCCTGTCCTTCTTACCCAGTGAATCACCCTCCTCCTCCTTGACCTGGCTACCCTGGACACTCAGCGAATCACCATTATCCTGGGCAGGGTCATGGGCACAGGGGACTTGGCCTTGGACCTTGGCTCCCGTTTCAATGCCAATTCCAAGTCCAATCCCTATCCCATTTCCATGTCCTTGCCCCTGATCGCTGCTCGTGCTGGTGCTGCTGGCACTGCTGGTGGTGCTGCTCGCACTGCTGTCCACCTCCAGATCGAGATTCAGGTGGAGACCCAGTCCCACTCCCATTCCCATTCCCATGCCCAGCATCTGCATTTGGCGGCTGAGGTGCTGCATCTTGTGGCCCAGGCCCAAGTTGAGATTCAGGCCCGTCGAGAGATTCAGTTGATGGTGGAGATGCTGCTGCAGCTGGCTCAACTGGGCCAGGTGATTGAGCTGATTCAGCTGATTGAGCTGATTGAGCTGACTTAGCTGATTGAGCTGACGATTCAGGTGATGATGGTGATAATGATGCGGCTGCTGGGAAACACCCAGTTTATGGCCCAGAATCAAACTGTGCCGGGCGGCGGCCAACGATTGCTGGTGCAGGTCCTCCATTTTGCTCGTCTTCTGCCAGGATATTCGGTTTCCAATCCCCAGATATTCCCCAGAGAGTTCTTCCTGTTGAGTTGGGTCGGTGATCACTGGACGGCGCTTGTTCGAGATGAGATTTCGGCTCGGGAACTTCTGTAGCTGATGGTCGGTCGGTATTTATCCTTTACCTTTTTTTCTAGCGGCTTCGTTGGGCGGTTATCTTACGGTCTGGAGGAAAACCGGGAAACAGGCAGCAGTCTAGACACTTAGGACCAATAACCCAACAGAAGAACACGGTACAGATACGTTAATTTACAACAGTTTTTTGTGTGCTGCCGAAAGAGAAATTTTGCCGATCGAATGAGGGGTGTATGTGTTATGTATATATTTATAGAAGGCTCTAAGTGAAGTAAGGCCAAATTGGAAACCTTTGGGTAATACTAAGTCCCAGCCAGCTGGGTTTTTTTTTAACTATATAATAATTAACTTTAATAGACCGAAAGAAATTAATTTATAATCTAAAATGTTCGTTAATTAATACATTAATACTTTTCAAAATTTTCAATTAAACTTTCGGTATAGAATTTAAACTATGAAATGAAAGCTTTATAATATTCAGTATACAATTAATACTACAGAGTTCAGATTTAATATAATTAACTTGTATACTTAATCTAGTATGTTTTTAATACAACGAGCTTAACGAGTTGATTATGTTTTTTTTTTATATTTCATAAAGAGTATCTCTAGAATACTTACCATAATTTAAAATGATAACCTATCTAGAATGGGCGTGCCGAAAGAAGCCCCCCAATTTGATCCGAAATTTAGTTCTTTGGTCCCAAAAAAGGGCAACCGGATGTCTCTTGTGGGGTGGAAAACGAAAACGCAGCCTCAATGTCTACATAGCATAAATAAAAAGGAAACCTCAACAACTGAAGGGCATAACAATTTTGGGAGCCGAGTTTCTGGTTTGCTGTTTTTCGGTTGGGCTTTCAACCCAAAAGAGGATGACTTTGCCGCGGGCCAAAAAACATGCCGAATCCGTTTACCCCGAAAGCATCGTGTAAAACAATATGCCACCGAGGTCCCAAAGTTATGCGATAAAAAGGGGCACGCCCCCGAGTTTGTTTAGCCTTTGTGATGAGGTGCGAAAAATCACAAGAATTGGATTTCGTTCTTGAGTTATGGCCAATCTGGCTCGGGGGTTTTCCTTCTCTTTTCACTGGCAATTGGATTGCACTAATTTGGTTTGCTGTTTTTACGGGGAAACGGGGAAGGAACTCAAAAAAGGCTCAGAAGGGATAATCCGACATTAGTGAGCGACCCTCAATGAATAACCAGTTTGTATAGTCGGGTGTTAATGTGCCACGTCACTTTTCCATCATTTCTCTCCGAGGCTCCGCAATGTTGGGTAATTTCGCAATTTTCAAATTACACACCGCAAAATCTCATTTAGCTGAGTAAAGCCAGTTGACTGGACTAATCTCGGGGTCCAGACGGCACTGCACTGGCTGCGCACACACAAATTACTAAATGAGTTGCCCAGGGGGAGTTGGGAGTGGAGAGTTTAGAGTTGGAAGAAGGAGTTTGGAAGGGGTTTGGAAGAGCTGGTGGTGCTGCATCATTGTAATGTGCTCTCGCCTCACGCTCGCTTGCCCCGTTCAACGGGCGTGAAAACAACGCACTTGGAGCTGGGAACCTAGGACCTCTCATAGCTCCGAGCTCTCTCTGCCAGCTCCCAACGCCCAACTCCCAACTCCAAACAGGTATTATCGCACATGAAAACGAGGGGGCACGATGCAGACGTATGGCCAAGGACATAAGCGTGACTAAACCCCAAGCGCAGTGACTTCCGCCTCTTTGGAGGGCATGGAATGGATGGGTGGAGCGTGGCCGCATCCTGTTTGGAGCCTTTAAATGCCAGTTGGTGTCGCAACAATCAGTGAACTCAAACAACTGCACAAACACACAATCACTTACCCTCTTAGGAACTCATGAACTAAGAGCTCTATATATTCGACTAAGGATGTCAAATTAAAGGAAATTATCGAAATTATCGAAACTATCGCGGAAGGCCATCAAAATATCGAAAATATCGATGTTATATAAAATTGATCAATATATCGATTTTATCGCATATCTCAGCTTTACAATTTATCAAATAATTTTTTAAAATATTACATTTAAATGTATCAGAAATTTAATTTCATAGATAATTTAATAAAATTATGTATGGGATTTGCCATCGCTAATCAGACCATATGTACCAGCACTTATATATAGCATTTCAAGCGGGGAGGGCCATGATTTGCGCCCGAAGCTGACACCACATCAAACACAAAGGACGCGATTGAGGTCGCCCGTCTTAGTCAACGTATCCTTGTTGATATGACCGCAAGCTCAAGGCTCTCAAATGCCAGCATCACACCTCAGAGGGGTTGGGCTGGACACTGGACGGTGGACAGTGGACGGTGGACGGTGGACATTGGGCATTCTGCCTTCGAGTTGCATTTCAATTAGCCCGTTTAGCTGCTGGCCAGAGAGTCGAGGAGGCAGTGCGGCCCCAATGCAGTTGACACACAAGTCACCCGGGATCCGGGGATTGCGTACGCCGCACGTCGATCAGCTTGAAGGAGTGAACTTTACGGAACGGACCGCATCAGGCCATCAGGCAGTCGTTTGTGGGCTTAGCGCCCCCTGCCCCCTGCCAGTGGATCCGGCAAACTAATTGGGGATTACTTGGGCGAATTATTCTCTACAGGAAACTGATTCCCTCGTTACTGTGTTGTTTAAAGCCAGACATTATTTACCTTGGCAGAACGAAAACTAACAAGTTTTCTATCGATACTCCATATCCTGGCTTCTGGCTTATTAAGCAGGTTAAACACACAATAATAATACTCTGGCGAATGAATTGATTATAAATTCTAGATAAAGAATTAAGGAGTTTTTTTTTTGATTGTGTGATTAAATAGGGATTTTTCATTTTTGTTTTTTTTTGCTGTAACTTGGCCAATAAAGGTCCTACACGATAAATAAATACTGTTTTGAACAGATAACTAAATAATAAATAAATCCATGACATTTTCCGGTGATCTTGAAAAAATAAAATTTTCGCAATTTTCAATTTTTTTTATAAGGGGGTCATGATTTACTCGATACAAAAGAGTCAAGTGTTTTTATTTTATTCACTCGTATTTCAGTAGCAACGTCCATGATTATAGTGATCAGAGAATCTGTGGTTGATAAGCTTTTTTATAAAAAACAAAGACCGAAGAAATTACTTAAGGTAGAAAAATCGGGCTGGTCGTTCTGGATTCGACCTAATCCTTGGCGGGCACCTCGATGACGCGCGGCTTGTCGATGATGCGAGCGGTCTTGTCGCCCTTCTCGACGATGCCAATGATCCAGGCCTGGCAGCCCTCCTGCTTCTCGATGTCCTTGCAATAGGCGGCCGCCTGCTCGCGCGGCAGGCAGATGAGTAATCCTCCCGAGGTCTCGGCCGAATGGCCCTGCAGCAGCTGGAACATGTTGCCGCAGGCCTTGGCCACCGCGGCCATCTTGGCGATCACCGGCAGATTGTGGATGACAAACGACACGTCCTTCTTCTGATGGGCGGCCAGAGTTTGAGCATGACCCAGTATTCCGAATCCCGTGATGTCGGTGGCCCCGTGGGCATTGTACTTGTGCATGAGGCGAGCGGCCAGGCGATTCAGCCGCGACATGGAGTCCATGGCGCGATGATAGGCCTTGCGCACATCCTCCTCGGACACCACCAGCTTGATGCGGTTCCAGCGCTCCGGCTGGTCAATCCACTGGTGGGCATTCACGGCCACCTGGGTGCCCAGGGGCTTGGTCAGCACCAGGACATCGCCCACGACCGCATTGTCGGGCACAATGTACTCGCTGGGCTGGCAGATGGTCGAGGCCACGCCGCCAATGGTGCACCAGGGGTTGACCACGCTCTGGCCCCCAGTTACAGTGGTGCCCGCCTCCAGAGCCGAGTCCTTGAAGCCTCGCATGACCAGCGGGATGACCGCGTCGCGCTCCTTCTCCGTCATCTTGGTGCTGACCGCCAGGAGCATCAGCATGTTGTCGCAATCGGTGACTCCCATGGCATACAGGTCGCTCAGTACATTGGCGCAGGCGATTTTGCCCATCATGTAGGGATCTTCGACAATGGGGTAAAAGAAATCGGTGGTCTGCACCAGGCAGAGGCCGCCGTGCCGCAGCGGAATGACGGAGCAGTCCAGACCGATGCCGATCCGGGGGATGGCCACGTTGGGGAACTGCGGGTCCTGGTCCTGGGTGGAGTAGTCCTGCTGCAGGGCGGCCACCAGCTTGCAGAGCACATCCTGCGGCACCTTGCAGCCGCGACCCTTGAGGTCGGCGAACCGGGTGAGCCGGAACGAGGCGTCCAAACCGTGGGCCGTGGGATCGAAGGGACGACGCAGCTCGGCGTCGCCACCGCCATGCAGCTCCAAGTGGGCCGAGTTCAGGACATCAGCGGCGTAGCTCATCTTTCTTTACAGTTTTGCTTGTGCGTAGGTGCAACGAGAATTGTATGGGGACGAGAGCAAATTTTATTTAGTTTGCGCCAGGTTTGCCTTTTCCAACGAGCGAGATGTCACAACAGGGTTGCATTCACGCGTGCGGGCGATTCATTTACAAAAAATAACAATCGATTGCAAATTTAATAACGAGTTCAGAAAGGTATGACAATCGATATTTGGATCTATATTTCCATTGTTTCGCTCAAAAAACGAATTATTTTGTGGAAAATTGGGATCTGGGTTTTTGGTAAATATATGAATTTTCCTTTTTTGTTTTTATGCTGTAACTTGGCCAAAAATGGTCCTACACCAAAAATACAAACTGTTTTGAACAGATAACAAAATAAGAAATAAATCCATGACACTTTCCCTGTGATTTTGGAAGAATAAAATTTTTGCCAATTTTCTTATTTTCTTATAAGGGGGTACATCATGATTTTTTACGAAAAATGACAAAAAAATTAAATGCCAGGGTTTAAATGCCAATCGTTAGGAAATTTAATAACGAGTTCAGAAAGGTATGACAGTCCATACTTTAAATCAGTATTTTCTTTGTTTTAGCGAAAAAAACGGATTTGTTTGTTTTTGAAAATTCGAGATTTCAGTTTTTGACAAAAATTTGAATTTTTCTTTTGGTTTTTTTTGGTGTAACTTGGCCAAAAATGGTCCTACACCAAAAGTACATACTGTTTTGAACAGATAACAAAATAATAAATAAATCCATAACACTTTCCCTGTGATATTGGAAAAATAAAATTTTCGCCAATTTTCACATTTTATTTATAAGTACCTACTTTGTTTTTTTTTTATAATATATTAAACTTGTTTAAATTGATTTCAGCAATAAAAAGGAGTTGATATCTTAAATATGAGCATGATGGGATTTGAATAAGTATTAGTAATAATATTCCTTGCAATTAAATATTTATTAAAAGACTTGTCTGTGAACCATATAAAATTTATTTTATTAATTTGTTTGCTTTTCCGACTCAGCAGTTACTTTTTTGACCGCCTGGGCGGCCTTGGGAGTGGGTTCCTGGTCCCGATCCCGATCCTGACCGTGTCCGTGATCCATGGCTGCACTGGTCCCACTGGAGATCCTGTCCTGCACCCGATGATGTTCCGCGGTGGCGGCGATCGAGGAGCTGGGCTCCGGATGGTGGTGGGGATGGTCGTCCGGGTCCAGGCGACTGGGAACTATCGAGTAACGATAGTTCTTCACCCGCAGGTAGCCGTAGATCAGGGCATCGTGGAGGCTCACCGTTATCTGGCGCTTCAGCTCCTCGTCGCTGCGATCCAGTCGATCGGCGACGGCCTCGATGATCTCGGGCTCGGTTAGCGGATGGTCCGCATCGGCGATCACCTGCAAGATGTTGCTGAACAGGTTCGGAATGAGCTTGCGCCGAGGTGCCCGGTTGTAGCTGCTGTGCAACATCCTGGGTCTGGGATCCTGATGCCGATGCTGATGGTGATACTGATCCTGATTCCGAACGATATATGGGCCGTGTCGATGTGACACATAAATCAACGATTCCTATCAAAAGTTCTCATTTTAAAGCCATATTTTTAGGCTCTGCCATAAAGTTTCTACATAAAGCCTGCTGCTCCTCGGCTGTTAATTAAAGAGTCACTCTTGGGTAAACCAAACTTTGTCTTGCTACCAGCCCCAAAAGTTCACCTTTTTGCGGTTTCCATTTCAATTCGATTGTCTTTCTCTACCTCCTAATAATGGCAGAGTGTGGGTTGTTAAAAAACTTTGTAATATGCAGACTCTTGAAATAAGCGAAATAATTTAAATTTACACATTATGTAACTAGCCATTAAATTTTTGCAATAACAATTATTGTATAACTAAATACACTTTTTATGTATTTTATAGTTAAAACAAAGAACAAGTTAAATTTAAAGTGGCGCCCGAACAGGGACCAAACGAAAGATCTATGCTTTCATTTCTCTTACATTCTCCTCATTCAATTTTCAACAAACTTCTACAATTACTATAGACTTGAGAGTGCTTCTAAAAATCGTGATAAATATAGGCAGCAAGTATCTTCAAGTCGCAACCACCGACTTTCGTGTTTGTTCGCTTGTCTTCGTCGAGACAGTCAGTTAGTCAGAGGTTGGAGGCCAAGATGATTCTTGGCAGGGGGCAGACATGCAGACAGTCTGAATATCGATTTACAGTTAAAGTTGCTACTGCTACAGCTGCGGATGTGGATGCGGATGTTGCTGTTGGTGTATGGGTAATCAAGTACAAAGTGCGGGGATTGGGATTCCAAGTAGAGCCGATGACGCCATAGACACAAAAGAAGGAACTGCGACAGGCGCTTCAAATTTGCATGGCATCCGCATCATTGTTAGTGTAATTTGTTGTTATTGTTGTTGTGTCTGGCACGTGTCGCAAGGAATTTTAGATAGCAAAACGCTTTTTTTTCGGAGCAAAGGATGGTTCGGAAGGCATAACACAATAACCGCAACCCGATTGAAATCTTCACGATTCCGAAAATCACATTTATCTGGCCGCGAGGGGTGGCTAATGAGTTTGGCATGCGCAAAATCTCCCTTTAGCTGGCGCCATGTATCTCAAAGTGCGTTGCATTCTTAATTACACCATCAGATTCGGCAAAAGCTGTCAGCAGCAGCAGGTACAAAATACACGAAAGAAAATTTGTTACTTTTTGCAAAAATATAAAATATTCATCAACAAATATTTCAAGGTTTTTAGAAATCACTAGAATTCTTTGGTTTCTATTTATATACATTCTTACCATTGGAAACTGATTGTGTAAAAATATATAGCAAACGCATATATCTCCGATATATATCCCAGTGCATGCCTGGCATATACGGAACCCAATCACCATCTCCACATTCCCCCTAGCTGCTGTCAAGCTTGATTAGCAACTTTGAGCAGCTGAAACGGGGCAAACTTTTGTTTCACATCCATTTCGGTTTCATATTATTCCCCTCCAACTCCAACTCGAAAGCTAAAACTGAACTCAAAGCTGGAGCTGCAGCTGAGTGTTAATTATGACTGACAGCGTTGGCAAGCGCTACACATTTCAGCACTTGGACACCACCCAACCACCGAGCCACCCAGGCAGTCGGCCTCTCAACCACCCAACCACCCACGTCCAGTGGCTGCAAGTTTGACTAATCCGGCGCCAGTGATTAGACCAGGCTCCAAATGCGACTAGTAACAATTAAAGCAAGCCAATTGCGGCTGGGAAAGTTTATCCCCCTAAAAATCTCATCATTTGTACACGGAAAAAATAAAATGAGGCAATAGGCTAATATGTTTATAAGAAATATATTTATAGTAAACTGTACAATGGAAATAATGTGAAAATGTGGATGAATAACAAAATAAATATTATTAGAAACTAAGAAATTCTTAAACAAACGAAAAAAAGAGAATTGGCTTATCTGCTTACGACCACATATTTCTTTCAGTGCACTCCTCAGTCATGCAATTAAGTGAAACTTTTATGCTCCATTTGGGGAGGGGAGTGATGCAAGAATTATGACTCGGAATCAGGCGAGCAGCGCACACATGGAAAATAATTTATTTTACGATTAGCGGACAACGATATAGCCTCCGTCCACCGCCCACCGCCCCGCCCCCTTTTCCGCTGGCCAACGATGCGTATAAGTGAATGGGCGTCATTCACCCGCTGGTCGGTGAATAAGTGCTATATGCTGCAGATATGTGTGTACAATGTACATATGTATGCCATATAGCTATATAGCAACTGGACATTGTCCATTGGAATAGCGGCGTCGCTGGCGTCAGCAATTCCATTCAACGCCGTCACCAGCGGAAGTTTTACCATTCAAAAGCGTTTGGCAATAAACTGTACAGTGAGTTATCGATGTGAGGGAGACAGTTGGAGATAATTCTACGCAATGATAACGGCAAAGTTTGCTTTGATAAATCGGTTATTTTACCCCGGGTGCAAAATAGATTTACCTAGATAAGATCGAATTATTTTACAGTATGAAATGCATCATAATTTTTGTGATTAATTAAAAACTATTTAAAAAGAGTTGCATTGCAATACTAAAGCTTAAAATTCGTTTAAAAATGTATTTCAAAGCATGCCTATCTTGCATTGGGCACACGTCGATTCTTCTTAGTGTCGCTATTTTTGTCTAAACAAACAATAAAATGGTGAATTTCCATAAAAGATCGTTTTCGATAAACATTTCCTACACTTTCAAGACGATTAGGAGTTCCTAATAAGCCTGTAATTCTCCCACATAATTTTGCCCAATGAAGTAATATAAAAGCCATGACATAAGTAAGAAAATATTTACAAATAAAGGCGAATCGTCAACATGACGCATACTTTTAGCCAGGCGCCAAGTTTTCGCCGGTAAAAACGATCCCCAAGTTGGCTCCTAAAGTTTTGCCCCAATTGCCCTTCTTCAGCAAGTAGTTAAGTTAATTTTCAGTGTGCCAACATTATAGCGCGGGTAAGGTGAAAGTGCGAGTAAAAGTGAAAGTGAGCCAAGGACAGCGGCACACTCAAATAATAATATTAACAATCTTCGAGGGGCATCTTAATGGGAACGCTAAGCGGAAAAGTTTTTATGATTTTTATTAGTTTCGTCTCGCGATGGGATGCCAAACAAATGGCCAGTCCCCCTGTCGTAATATTATATATTGGCATCCGGGGATTGGATGGGATTGCTTTGGTTTAAGTAGGGGGCATCGATTTGCTTTGGCGTCTTTTACCGTTTTTCCCGGTTGAGATTTATCAACGCCACACGCGATGGACAAGTTGCTGGATTTCTGGCTGCATGTCGACATGGATATATGGATAAATGGGTAAATGGATGGATGGTCAGCTGTCGATGGGGTGGTGGAGAGAGGGAGAGAAGGAGGAGGGTACCGAGTTCGAGTCCCGGTCCACCCTCGAGGCGTTGCTAATCTAATTTGCCGTTATTGGCGGGCCAGATTAGCACTCACGCACTCAAGGCGGGCGCACATGTGTGTGTAATGCGTATCGCGTGTGCGGAGATTCCATTCCGAATTGCCTATAATTTGGCGCGGAAAGCACTCAAAAAATTGCATTTTTCCCATATTATAAATTATAAATTCCGAATTATAAATTATAAATAAATAACTAATAAGTAGTTGGGAACTATAAGCCAGTTTTATGTCCAAACTTAATCTAGGATAATATAATTAGGAAGCAAAAAAACGGGAGGTAGAAGCTGAAGCCAAAACGGCTTGTCTTAAAAATCTAAAAAAACATAGAACCGGAAATAATATTTATTGTATGTAAAATAAAGCCTTTAAAATCAAAGGAACTTATAATAGCAAATTAGAATTAGAGAGATAACTCAAAATATTTCCAATACATAAAGCATGAAAAAATATATTTTAAGTTTTTATTATGTTATCTTTTTCTTTCAGTGTTGCAGATACAATGTGAGGCAGAAGGACATATTACCATCTCAGGACTGAGGACTCGGAGGACTTTGGACTCAGCCACAGCCTGGCTCACACACACACATATTAGTCGAAGCTGTGCAAGTGCAAAACATAATGAAAATGATGTCAGTTTGATAAGATTTCGCCGTGGGGCGTACGGTGGTTGGGTGGTTGGGCGTTTGGGTGGTGCGAAATTCGTGTATCGCTGCCATTGCCATTGTTGTTGCTGTTGTTGCATGAGTGCTCGCATGTTATGAGAAAAGTTTCGCCGCTTAAAGATGTTTCGATGGGAAACTTCGGCACCGCATGCTCCAGCAAACCCAAGCAAAATGTGTTGTTTGCATGCACATTGAATGTATCACATTTGTTTTTCGGTTTGGGTTGGGGAAAGGGGGTTTTTAGCGGCGAAACAAATCCCATTGAATTAGTTTGTATGCCAGTTGGTAATAAGAAAATTGGACAATAAACAAATTTTGCCATTCGTGTGAATAAGTTTTATATTGTTGAAATTAAGGTGTTTACTAGAAATAATCAAATGTATACTCTTTATAGGAAAATCAGAAATAATATGGAAGGTTCTAGAACCTTTAAAAAGAAGAGTGCTTAAACAAATTCCTAAAATTCTATTTATTGGATCTAAAGTGCATATCAATCAAAATCAGAAAGAAGCTTAAGAGTAGTGCTCAATCAAAATGCCCGAATTGGAATTGCAATAAAAACAGACAGCTTGTTAAGTGAGTGTGCATTCAAGCTAAGCTGCATAAATTACTCGACTGTTTTTGCTTATCCAACGGCAACTATCTGTGCCCAGTATGGCAGTTTATTTAGGTAATATGTGTCTGGCCCTCAGAAACACAGTGGTTAATAGCTTTAGATGGTCCCCCCTATATCGCCCCCAAAACTCACACCTCCGATCCTTGGCAAGTCCTGCAGCAAACACTCAAAACACGTCCAATCAGCCGGACCCTCAGTTGTTGTTGGTGTTGCTGCTGTTGCTGTTGCACCATGTTGCATGTTGCTGCTGTGC